TTTTTTGAGATGGAGTTTCGCTCTTGTTACCCAGGCTGGAGTGCAATGGCGCGATCTCGGCTCACCGCAACCTCCGCCTCCTGGGTTCAGGCAATTCTCCTGCCTCAGCCTCCTGAGTAGCTGGGATTACAGGCACGCACCACCATGCCCAGCTAATGTTTTGTAGTTTTAGTAGAGACGGGGTTTCACCATGTTGACCAGGATGGCCTCGATCTCTTGACCTTGTGAGCCACCCGCCTCGGCCTCCCAAAGTGCTGGGATTACAAGCGTGAGCCACCGCGCCCGGCCTTTTTTTTTTTTTTTTTTAATAGAGATGGGGTTTCTCCATGTTGGCCAAGCTGGTCTCGAACTCCTGACCTCAGGTGATTCACCCTCCTTGGCCTCCCAAAGTGCTGGGATTATAGGTGTGAGCCATCACGCCTGGCCTTTTATTGGCTTTTAAAGATGCTACTTGTTCCATTACAGTGGAAGTAACTGTTAACATATTCTTGTCTGAAATTTTTGAAACAGCACTGCAGATCCCGCATCAGGGGTGATACAGGCCAAGTATTCTTATTCTGATACCACTGTACTGGGCAGGCAAATTTAGCATGTCCATCACAGCATAGTGGCCTTCTCTGCGTCTTGCATATGGAATTCAAAAGGCTGATTTTCTTTCTCAGAAACTAAGGTTTTGGGGAACCCTGCAGCTCATGGGGGCAGGAGCAGGGGTCTAGGGCTAAGCAGTAATACCGCCTAGCCAGCCAAGGGGTGCAAAAGTAAGAAATACTGGGAGTAGAACTCCCAGAAGCCTGGCCTATAAATCAGTGCTTTCTTGAATTTCAGACAGGGAGTGTATATTCTTGTTGTTGAAGATGCTCCCTAATACATTTTATACTTTTTGTTATCATGGGCAAATTGACAGTCAGACTTTTCTAGACTTAATTTACAAAATAGCACTCTTAAGCTCTTCTTTATGATCACCATGGACCAGAACACTGTTTTCCATCTCTGCGGGGACATAAGGCTGTTCCACTTTCCCATAAGAGCAGTATATATTTGCTTGGGTGTCTTGGTTGTGTGTGTGTGTGTGTGTGTGTGTGTGTGTGTGTGTGTGTGTGTGTGTGTGTGTTGAGGGGAGTTGTTACTTATAATTGATGGGGTACAACATCCAGGTTCATGAGTGTGGGAATTTTAGGGAGGTTTGGAGTCTCATGTCATCTTTACTTCTAACTTCTCAATATCCTGCTTTTCTTCATGCAGGGGACATGGAGGAAGAAAGAACAACTGCTGAGTTACAGAAAAATAGGATACAGGTAAGTAAAAGGTAATAATTGTCAAAAAATTTCCATTGCACCAGATCTCCTTCCATGTTTTAGAGCACAGGTCAGCAGCAATCTGTTTCTGCATTGGACCACATAGTATTTTAGGCGCTGAAGGCTGTAGTGTTTCTATTACAATTCAGCTCTGCCATTTGAGTGCAAAAGCAGCCATAGACAGTACATAAACACATGTTTTATTGTGTTCCAGTAAAACTTGATGCATTCAAGTGGCAGCTTGGATGTGGTCATATGCCATAGTTTGCTGACCCCTGGCCTAGAAGACAAGGAAGTATAACCAGCTGTAGGTCTGGCTTGAAAGTTGTGCTTGCGCAGCTCCTGGGCCTCTCAGGTTTGTGAGAGGGGGAAAAAGTGAAAAGCTTCTATTCTCTCAGTGTATTTTTATTCATTAAAACCCCATCTACATTTGACCCTGTGATTAATGTTGTAGTGATTGCTATGGTGGGAATAAAGTAACAGGTGAAGTTATTTCTGTAATAAGGAATTGATGATGTCATTGTGGAAATTATTTCATTTCCAGAGCATTTCTCTCACTTCTTCAATATGCTCTGGACTTTTCTAGGCCATTGTAAGACTGGCATTGGTCACCCTCTGTGATATTGTGAAATATGTGTTTGGCTTTCATCCTGTTCCCTGGCACAGAGTTCCTAAAAACCCTTGTAATCTCTGGAGCAATAAGACAGTCTTTTGTGTGCTAATGAGATGGTTGGTGTCTGGAAGTTCCTGGAGAGCCTTAAGATGGGGGCTGGTTCAGAAAGACCCAGGCAAGGTCAGAGGATTGGGACTTACATCAACCATGTGATGGAGCTTGTGGATAGCTGAATGTGTGGTGGTTCCTGGGGGGTGGCATGCCAGGAAAGGGCATGGAATTCCTGTACCCCTTTCCACTATACGTTGGCCTGTCCATCTCTTCTTCTGGCTGTTTTATCTGTATACTTTGTAATATCCGTGCTGACAAACCAATAAACATATTTCCATGAGTTCTGTGAATTGTTCCAGCAAATTAATCGAACTCAAGGAAAGGCTAGTAGGAGCCCTCATTTTAGCCAGTCAGAAGTATAGTTGACAACCTTTTAACTTGGGATTGGCATCTGAAGTGGGAGGCAGTTAAGTGGGACCAAGCCCTCAACCTGTGGGATCTCCAGGTAGATCATATCAGAAGTGAATTATAGGATACCCAGCAGGTATCCATTGGGGAATTGCTTGGTGGGTATGGAAAATATCCCACACACAGCTAGTGTCAGAAATGTTCTATACGGTACTGAGTGACTATGTAAGAGGGTAGGAAAAACACTGTTTTTCCCTATCTCATTGCCATCAATTTGTAGGGAGATAAATTTAGTGTTTTTTTGTTGTCATTGTTCAGGCTAGAGTACAGTGGCATGGTCATGCTCACTGTAGCCTCAACCTTGCGGCTCAACGATCCTCCCACCTAAGCCACCACAGGCACACGCTACCACACCTGGCCATATGTACTTTTAAATTTTGGCAGAGACTGAGTCTCACTATGCTACGTTGCCTAGGCTGGTCTCGAACTCCTGGGCTCAGGTAGTCCTCCTACTTCTGTCCCCAAAAGTGCTGGGATTACAGGTGTGACCCAATTTGCCTGGCAATTTAGTGTTTTAGAAGTGTTAAATCTGTAAGTCAGGATTTGATCAGTGATGAATTAGTGTAGATAGAAAGAGAGATTTGTTGACTGAGTCCTAGAGTAGATGCTGGGATCTCCTGAATTTCCTATGAATTGGCTCTCATTTCCTCAATATTGTCAGCCTCATCCGTCCTCTTGTACACATTGGAGGAATTGTACCTTTCTGAATAGAATTTATGGTATATTTTAGGACTCAGTAGTCTTTGAGGATGTGGCTGTGAACTTTACCCAGGAGGAATGGGCTTTGCTGGATCTTGCTCAGAGGAACCTCTACAGAGATGTGATGCTGGAAAACTTCCAGAACCTGGCCTCGCTAGGTAAGAATGGCAAGATTTTTTCATGTAGTTGTTTAGAAAGTGATTTTAGGCCGGGTGTCCCTGGTGGCTCACACTTGTAATCCCAGCACTTTGGGAGGCTGAGGTGGGTGGACCACGAAGTTAGGAGTTTGAGACCAGCCTGGGCAATATGGTGAAACCCTGTCTTTACTAAAAATACAAAAATTAGCTGTGCATGGTGGTGCACGCCTGTAGTCCCAGCTGCTCAGGAGGCTGATGCAGGAGAATCGCTTGAACCAGGAAGGCAGAGGTTGCAGTGAGCCGAGATTGCACCACTGTACTCTAGCTTGGGCGACTCAGCAAGATCCCATCTCAGAAAAAGAAAAAAGAAAGTGATTTTCTCTCACCAAATTGACTTTATTCTAGGATTTGGGCTGAGGGATGGGAAGACATTGGTAAATAAGACAGATATAGTCACTGACCCCAATGAACTTACAGTCTAGTGGCTTTGCTATGAAAATAAACATTTGGGCTGGGTGCGGTGGCTTTCGTCTGTAATCCCAGCACTTTGGAAGGCTGAGGCAGGTGGATCATCTGAGGTTTGGAGTTCCAGACCATCCTCACCAACATGGAGAAACCCCATCTCTACTAAAAGTACAAAATTAGCTGAGCGTGGTGGTGTATGCCTGTAATCCCAGCTACTCGGGAGGCTGAGGCAGGAGAATTGCATGAACCTGGGAGGAGGAGGTTGCAGTCAGCCTAGATTGTGCCATTGCACTCCAGCCTGCACAACAGGCTGTCAAAAAAAAAAAAGAAAAGAAACTCTGTCAAAAAAAAAAAAAAAAGAAACATCTGTATATTGAGCTGATGCTTTCTTTTTTTGTGTGGTTGAAAGTCTTGAGGCTTATTAAGTATTGAAAGTATGCGTGTAAACCTCAGCAATCACTATGGGACACAGGAAGGAGGTTTGTAGTTTTGACATTTTGAGGATTTTACTGCTATCTATGCCCTTTACGCAATGACTACCAGGAACACATCTATAGTTAAATAAGTTGGGTTTATTTTGCAGTGCAGCAAGGGAGAATACATGTGTTAGAAAGAACCCGTTTTAGGATTTGTGCTTCAGTTGAGTGATTTGGGGATAGATCTATGGAAGCAGACTGTGTTAGTTTCCTAGACCTTCTGTAACAGAGCATCACACACTGGTGGCTAAAAACAACAGATGTTTTTTCCTTTGCAGTATTTCTAGAGGCTGGGTATCTGAAATCAAGGGATCAGCAGGGCTGTGTTTTTTTTGAAGGCTCTGGGGGAAAGACTCCCTTTTCTCTTCCTGGCTTCTGGGGATTGCTGGCAATCATTGACATTCCTTGACTTACAGATGCATCATTCCAATCTCTGCCTTCATCTTCTTCCTGTGTGTCTTTCTAAGTCTCCTTCTCCTTATAAGGACACCAGCCATTGGATTTAGGGCCCACCTCAACCTAGTATAACCTTGTGTTAACTTGATTATATCTATAAAGACCCTATTTCTTTTTTTTTTTTTTTTTTTTTTGAGATGGAGTTTCGCTCTTGGTACCCAGACTGGAGTGCAATGGCGCGATCTCGGCTCACCGCAACCTCCACCTCCTGGGTTCAGGCAATTCTCCTGCCTCAGCCTCCTGAGTAGCTGGGATTACTGGCATGACCCACCATGCCCAGCTAATTTTTTGTATTTTTAGTAGAGACGGGGTTTCACCATGTTGACCAGGATGATAAAGACCCTATTTCTAAATAAGGTAACATTCTGAGGTTCTGGGTGGAGTTTTTTTTTTTTTTAAGTAGGCTTTATTTTTATTTTTAGAGCAGCTTTAGGTTCACAGCTGAATTGAGTGGAAGATACAGAGATTTCCCATATAGCCCCTGGCTCTCTACATGCATAGCCTTTTCTAATAACAACATGCCCCACCAGAGTGGTAAATGTGTTATAACTGATGAAGCTACATTGACACATAAATTATGCCCAAAGTCCATAATTTATGTTAGGGTTCACTCTTGATATTGTACATTCTATGGGTTTGGAAGAATATATAATGACATGTATCCACTATTATAATATCACACAGAATAGTTTCACTGCTGTAAAAATCTTCTGTGCTCTATCAATTCATCTCTCCTTCCTTTTCTCTAAAATCTTGGCAACCACTGATCTTTTTACAGTCTTCTAATGTTGTTGCCTTTTGCAAAATGTCATATAGTTGGAATCATGCAGTACATAGCCTTTTCAGATTGGTTTCTTTCACTTAGCAATATACGTTTAAGATTCTTCCATGTCTTTTTATGGCTTGAAAGCTCATTTCTTTGTAGTGCTGACTAATATTCTATTGTCTAGATGTACTACAGTTTATCCATTTACCTACTGAAGGACTTCTTGGTTGCTTACACGTTTGGCAATTATAAATAATGCTACTATGAACATTGGTGTGCAGGTTTTTATGTGGACGTAAGTTTTCAACTCCTTTGGGTAAAAGGAGTGCAATCCAGTTGGTGGATTTTATGGTAAGAGGGTGTTTAATTTTATAAGAAAGTACAAAACTGTCTTCCAAAGTGGCTGTACCATCTTGCATTCCAACCAGCAATGAATGAGAGTTTCTGTTGCTCCTCATCCTCACCAGCATTTGTTGTTGTGAATGTTCAGGATTTTGGCCATTCTCATACGTGTGTAGTGGTGCCTTGTTTTAATTTGCATTTCCCTGATGACTTGTGATATTGAGCATCTTTTCATATGCTTATTTGCCATCTATATATGTTCTTTGGTGAGGTATCAGGTATCTGTAAAGGTCTTTGGCTCATTTTTTGTCCTTTTTTTTTTTTTTAAACACTGTTGAATTTTAAGAGTTCTTTGAATATTTTTTTTCTGTATGATATCTGCTACAGTCTTTGTATATTTTTGATAACAGTTCCTTCTCAGATATATATTTTGCAAATATTTTCTCCCAGGCTGTGGCTTATATTTCCATTCTCTTGACATTGTCTTTCACAGGGGAGATATTTTTTTTTTTTTTGAGATGGAGTTTTGCTCTTGTTGCCCAGGCTGGAGTGCAATGGCATGATCTCAGCTTACTGCAACCTCCACCTCCCAGGTTCAAGAGATTCTTCTCCTGCCTCAGCCTCCCTAGTAGCTGGGATTATAGGCATGTGCCACAATGCCCAGCTAATTTTCTATTTTTAGTAGAGAGGGGGTTTCTCCTTGTTGGTCAGTCTGGTCTTGAACTCCTGACCGCAGGTGATCCACCTGCCTTGACTTCCTAAAGTGCTGGGATTACAGGCATGAGCCATCACACCTGGCCCAGAAATTTTAAATGTTAATTAAGTTCAGCTTATTCTTTGTTTTATGGATCATGCTTATAGCATTATATCTAAAATATCAGTGCCAGGATGTGGTGGAACTGGTAGTTCCAGTTACTTGGGAGGCGGAGGCTGGAGGATCACTTGAGTCCAAGAGTTTGAGGCTGCAGTGAGCTATAATCACACCACTACTACAGCCTGGGTGATAAAGTGAGACCATGGCTCTTAAAAAAATTTTTAAATAAATTAAAAAAAAATAAATAAATAATTAAAAATGTCATTGCCAAACAGAAGGTCATCTAGATTTTTCTCCTGTTATCTTTTAGGAGTTTTCTAGCTTTGCTTTTTACAGTAAGGTCTGTGACCCATTTTGAGTTGATTTTTGTGAAGGGTCTAAGGTCTGTGTCTAGATTTATATTTTGCACGTGGATGTTCAGTTGTTCCAGTACCATTTGTGGGAAAGACTATCTTTTCTCCATTGTATTGCCTTTGCTGCTTTGTCAAGGTCAGTTGACTATATTGGTGTGGCTTTGTTTCTGAGCCCTGTGTGCTTTTCCATTGATCCATTTGATCATGAATTTTGAGGGGACATTGTTCAGCGTAGTGACACAGGCAGTCACTTTAGATTGGTTGCTGACAGAAAGTGGATAGTATTGCTGGTTGCTGATAGTATTATTCAGTCATGCTCTATTACTGAGTATATGTGGGTAGCATAAAGTCTTTAGAAAAAATTAAAAGGTAACTTTGTTTTGTTTCATTTTATCATAATTTCATAGTAACTTTATCCAAGATTAGTATTCTACAAGATTATTTATATTCAGTAGGAGAACAAAATGTCCTGGTTGTGACTGTCTGACCAGCGTGTAATGATATTGAGATCTAGGTGTGAACATTAGATCAGTTCTGTATGTCAGAGGCTGTTTCCTCCTGCCACCTCTCCTTTAAAAAAAAAATAAATTTGACATTTTGTTGCAGTTAAACTCACAGTTGTCCACTTTTGGAATATCAGAAGACTGAAGGTTTGTTTCTGTCTTATGAAAATGTTTGTGATTCTTCATCATTTTCCCTCATGATATGGCTTTCTGCTTGTGCAGGGTATCTGCTACACACACCCCATCTGATCTCCCAGTGGGAACAAGAGGAAGACCTGCAGACACTGAAGAGAGAACTTATCCAGGGCATCTGTGTGAGAGAGCACCAGGAAGGCAAGAACCCTTGAGAGAAACTGTTTTGGTTGGGGGAGGAAAATCAACTTAAAAGAAAATAAAAAACAAAAATAAACTTTGTTTTATGTGAGGAAGCTCATCTTCCACAGATATCTCAGATGACTATTTTGACTTTTTGTCATTCTCTCACATTTTCCTTGTTCTTGGCAAAGACCTTCCATATTTCCTCTTTGTAAGTTAGTATTTGGCCATATGCTTTTTTTTTTTTTTTGAGATGGAATCTCGCTCTGTCGCCAGGCTAGAGTGCAGTGGCGCAATCTTGACTCACTGAAATCTCTGCCTCTGGAGTTCAAGTGATTCCCCTGCCTCAGCCTCCTGAGTAGCTGGGACTACAGGTGTGCCCCACCATGCCCAGCTAATTTTTTATATTTTAGTAGAGACGGGGTCTCATCATGTTGGCCAGGATGGCCTTGATCTCCTTTTCTCATGATCCGCCTGCCTTGGCCTCCCAAAGTGCTGGGATTACAGGCGTGACCCATTGCGCCCAGCCTGGTCATGTGCATTTTGTCCAATTTTTGTTTTGTTCTCCTAATACTATTCTAGTTATGTTAGTCTGAATCTTCATGTAATTATTTCTTAGTTAATTGCTTACCATTTTGACCCTTGCGTCTATCAATACCAAAGTCCTGAAATAGCCACTCTGCTAAAAGTCCTTTGTTCACAGAAGCTTTCACTTTTTTTGTTACAGGTTTTGAGACTCAACTTAAAACTAATGAATCGGTTGCCCCACCAGATATTTGTGGAGAGAAAATATCCAATGAACAGAAAATAGTAAGATTCAAAAGGAATGATTCCTGGTTCTCCAGTTTACATGAAAACCAAGAATCCTGTGGTACTGATTATCAGAACAAAAGCCATGAGAGGCAGTTGAGGTGAGTGCCATGCATGAGAAAGTAGTGCCTCCGGAGAGAATCTTAAAATATTATGAAATTTAAGAAATATATATGTATAAATAAGCCTGGATCAAAGATTGTGATTTGAGAATTTCTTTCTTCTTTTTTTTGAGATGGAGTCTTGCTCTGTTACCGAGGCTGGAGTGCAGTGGCATGATCTCAGCTCGCTGCAACCTCTGCTGCCCGGGTTCAAGCAATTCTCCTGCCTCAGCCTCCTGAGTAGCTGGGAGTACAGGCGTGCACCACCACGCCCAGCTAATTTTTGTATTCTTAGTAGAGATGGGGTTTCATCATCTTGGCCAGGCTGATCTTGAACTGCTGACCTTGTGATCCAGCCATCTCTGCCTCCAAAAGTGCTGGGATTACAGGTGTGAGCCACTGTACCCGGCTGAGAATTTTCATGAGTTAATTTTTTCCACAAATGAGACTGAGATTTTGAATGTTTGACACATACTTCACTTGTAAACAATTATAAGAAAAATCTGTGAGTCAAAAACGTGGCGACAGTATTGGCTGTGGTAGAGCGCTTTGTGAGAACTTTCAATTTATAACTTGACAGAAGGCCAGAAAACATACACATTCACTGAAATTGGTAAAAATTTATTACTAATAATGTGTCTTTTATTTTTAAAAGAAATCCTATGGTAGAAAACATCTATGAATGTAGTGAAGAAAATCAACATGGACAGACCTTCAGCCAAGTTCCAAATCTTGATTCAGTCAAGAGAACAACTGAAGTAAAATCCTGTGAATGCCACGAGTGTGGAAAGGTCTTCGTGGATCATTCGTCCCTTAGGAATCACATCAGGTCTCATACTGGAAGCAAACCCTATGAGTGCAAGGAATGTGGGAAGGCCTTCCATTTTCTTGCTTGTTTTAAGAAGCATATGAAAACCCCCACTGAAGAGAAGCCCTATGAATGTAAGGAATGTACCAAAGCCTTCAGTTGTTCCTCATTCTTTAGGGCACATATGAAGCTTCACGTGGGAAAGACGAACTATGAATGTAAGGAATGTGGAAAAGCTTTCAGTTGTTCCTCATCGCTTACAGAACACAAAAGGATTCATAGTGGAGATAAGCCTTATGAATGTAAGGAATGTGGGAAGGCCTTCAGTTGTTCCTCCTCACTCTCCAAACACAAAAGGATTCATAGCGGAGATAAGCCATATGAATGTAAGGAATGTGGGAAGGCCTTCAGTTCTTCCTCTCACCTTATAATACATATAAGAATTCACACTGGAGAGAAGCCGTATGAATGTAAAGAGTGTGGGAAGGCCTTCAGCGAGTCCTCAAAACTCACTGTACACGTGAGAACACATACCGGAGAGAAACCCTACAAATGTAAGGAATGTGGGAAAGCCTACAATTGTCCCTCCTCCTTGAGTATCCATATGAGAAAACACACTGGAGAAAAACCCTATGAATGTCTGGAATGTGGAAAGGCCTTCTATCTTCCCACTTCCCTTAATACACATGTGAAAAATCAAAGTCGAGAGAAGCCCTACGAATGTAAGGAATGTGGGAAGGCCTTTAGTTGTCCCTCATCCTTTAGGGCACATGTGAGAGATCACACTGGAAAGATACAGTATGAATGTAAGGAGTGTGGGAAGACCTTTAGTCGTTCCTCGTCCCTCACCGAACACTTAAGAACTCACAGTGGAGAGAAGCCGTATGAATGTAAGGAATGTGGGAAAGCCTTCATTAGTTCCTCCCACCTTACAGTACATATCAGAACTCACACTGGAGAGAAACCTTATGAATGTAAGAAATGTGGGAAAGCATTTATTTATCCCTCAGCCCTTAGGATCCACATGAGAACACACACTGGGGAAAAGCCCTATGAATGTAAGGAATGTGGGAAAGCATTTCGTCATTCTTCATACCTTACTGTACATGCAAGAATGCACACTGGAGAGAAACCCTTTGAATGTCTGGAATGTGGGAAAGCCTTCAGTTGTCCCTCATCCTTTCGAAGACACGTGAGAAGCCACACTGGAGAGAAACCTTATGAATGTAAGGAATGTGGGAAAGCCTTTGTTTGTCCTGCCTACTTTCGAAGACATGTGAAAACTCACACTAGAGAAAACATACAAATGTAAGGAATATGGGAATGTCTGCAGAGCTTCAGATCCTAGGCAACTTGTGAGGTCTCATACTGTGGAGACACCCTATGAATGTTAGAAAGTAGGAAATTGTTGCTTATCGTTTTGAAGATTTGAGGACGCCTTAGAGAAATCCTGTGTATGTAAATCATGTGCTAAAGCCTTTATGAACATTACTTACTATGTATAAGAGAATTCATACTAGAAATGAAGATCAGTGCCTCATCCTTTAAGTGAACAACTGGCTCGCTGATTACCAGTGTTTTCTGATGGAACATTTAAGGTGATAAATTTACCTTTTCAGCTCTAGCCACATACTTTTTATTATGAGGTGCTTTCATTTTGGTTCTGATATAAATATAATTTCCGTTATAAAGTCTTTTGGATCCATGGAGGATATGAAATATTTTTTCTGTATAGGCACCAGTGGTCTTTTTAAAAAAAGTGTTTTCTAATTAATGTTCATTGTTCTTTAAGTGGGTAGTCATTATAATATTGACACTTTGGTTTTGTTGGTATTTTGCTTTTAGTGTACATGGCAGACAATGGAAATTGCCCACTCAGTATTTTTCTTGTTCTTTTTTGCTAAGAGCCTTAAGGTTTTGAGATGATCAGTTTTTACTGTTAAATGCCTTTCCTGTCTAGTGAGTAATTCAGCAGAAATTAATTTAATATACTATTTTTATATTTTGTTCTTTGTCCTTACTCATGGCTGGGAATTGGATCCAGTGTTTTGAGTATAAAAATTGTGTTACATTAACTACATTTCCCAGAATCACTTTTTTCTCCAGTTGTGTTAGACTTGTCTAAAGAGTTTATATGAGATGTGAAAGGCATAAGGGAAGAAAAAGCCATTATGCTATGTTTAGTGGGGCCATCAGACAGGGAGACAGATGTATAAAGGCCTGGTCACCTAGTTTTCAGCTCATTTTTCTGATTGTTGGACTCATTGATTAATATTTGCCCAAAACTGAATTTTATAGCTGGGTGTGATGGCTCAGGAGGATCACTTGAGCCCAGGAGTTTGGAGCAGCAGTAAACTATGATCATGCCACTGCACTCCAGCCTGAGTGGCAGAGTGAGACCCTTTCTCAAAAACAAAATAAAACACTGAACATTAAATGCTTGCTTGACTTCAGTGTCCTCTGAGGCAGCAGCTCTACAGCTATCACCACATACAGCTTCTTGGATTTTCTGGCAAGCTCTGGGATTGCCATTTTTCTTATGTTGCAGTCTGTCTTACACAGTCCAACCGCATCATGTCACTCTATTCATGGGGAAAGATATTTTTGCAAGTCTCAAAAGTAAGAGCTGTGGAGAGTGAGAGGGGTTACCCTTAGTAATTGAGGTAAGCATCCACAGGGTGTCATCCCGTTTTAATGGAGGAAGATTTATACTTGACACCTTCAAACAGAAAAGATTTTACTGCTTTTTTTCCTTAATGTAAGAACATGAATTGCTTCAGGCACTTTTAGCTATAGTATTATAGTTTCCCTTTAAAAGTATTATTCTACTACTTGCCCTTAATCACTTTTTATTTTATGTTATACATACGCTAACATGCATGAAGTATGCTAGTCTTCAATGTACAGCTTGATGAAATTTCATGTATGTATACGTCCTAGTAAACAGAGAACATTTCCAGGACATTAGGAAATTCCTTCATCCTCTTTCTCAGTGATTAATTACTCCACAGGGCAACGACAATTTTGACTCTTACTATAATTGACTTGGTGTGTTTGTTCTTGATTTTCATCTAAATGTGAAAATATAATATGTACAGTTAATGTGTTTTGGCTTCTTTTGCTCAACAAAATGTGTAGTTGACTTTTAATTGCTCTTTTGATAGATGTATGGGCTTATTTATCTTGGTATGTGCTATATGTGCAGGAATGAATTTACTGATCATAGGGTAGACTTTCAGTTTGGTTTTGGTAGGTATTCCAGTTTTCAAAAAAATACTGGTTCCACCAAGAATCCCCAGAACAATGTATGACAGTTGTAGTTGTTTCACACACCTGGCCAGCACTTTCTGATTTTAATCATTCAGCAGAGCATGCATTTACCTGATGTGTAATGATTTTGAGTACTTTTCAGTGTGCTTATTGGCTATTTGGATTTTTTTTGTGAGGGCACCTGTTGAAACATTTATGGTTTCACTGATTTATGGTTCCTTTTTTAAAAGAAAAGTTGAAGGGTTTTCTTCTGGTTATGTGCCCTTTATTGCATATATGTGTATCTATATCTAGGTACACATGCATACATGTGTATAAACCATGTATTATATATTACATATATACATAAAATATGTATATTATATATACATATATTACAGATAACATTTCCCAATCTCCATCTTGTCTTTTCACTCTTTAAAGGGAATTCGTTGGCTTAAATAATTTATTACTAAAAAGTCCTTGGGTATAACAAGCTTCAGGCATGGCTAAATCCTGGGACTAAAAAAAACGTTATCTAGTTGAATTCTGTCTCCCTGTCTTGGCTGTGTATCCTCTCGCATTAGCTTTTGTTCCAAGCAGGTTGTCTCTTCATAGCAGGCCCTAGAAACTCTGGCTGCTATTTTCCCGGCTTAAAGTCTCAGGGAGAAAAGAGTGATTGTTTTTTTTGAACAGTTCCAATATGATTCTCAGAATTGAATCTGGTTGGCTCTGACTGGCTCACTTGCCTGCTGTACTCTAGTCACTGGCCTGGGGAATGTAATACTCATTTGTTTAGGGTTAGCGCCCGCGCTTATCCAGATACTGGGTTAGAGTCTACACTGACTGTGTCAGAGTTCTGGCAGTTCTGACACATATGGAAAGGGGAGAAGGCAGCAGTGGGCAGGTAGGATCTAAAAATAGGGGTAATATTGTTAGCTATCATGCTGGTCTTAGCAGCAAGTGGGATCTGTGAAGTCTGGGAACTCTGCTAGGGGTTCCTAGATAGCATTTTAGAAAAGTCAAATGTGATCTGTTAACATGTCTTTAGATCACTAAAGATTTCTGCTCAGTCTTTAATGAGCGTAGAGATCAACTTGAGATCTGACACTTGTTTAAGAATTATTTGCCTGGACCAAGATAATGAATCTATTCTCCTATGTTTTCTTCTATATTCTTTATTGTTTTTATTTAGATCTGTGATCTATTTTGAATAATTTTTTTGTAGTGCGTGAGGTAGGATCAAGGTGTGTATATATAGATTTATCAAAGAGACCATACTTTTCCCCTCTGCTTAGGCAATCTCTGCCCCTTGGTTCATTTGTCTTTCCTTGCACCATTACTGTACTATCTTAATTATGTTGCTTTGTAATATTTTTGTAAATCTGGTAGTGAGAGCCTTCCAGCTTTTTATTCTTTAAGATTGTCTTGCCTTCTGTGTTCCCATGTTTTCTAAATTAATTTTGCAATCTCAGGATTAATTTTCACAAATAAATTTTTTGGTACTGTGCTTGTGATTGCATTGACTTTATAAAACAACCTAAGGATAATTGACATCTTTACAATATTGAATTTTCCAATTAATGAATGTGGTATAATTGTCCATTTACCTAGGTTGTCTTTAACTTTTCTCAATTTAAAGTTTTAATTGTAGAAGTCTTGATTTGTTTATTTCTAAGTATGTGGAATATTTTACTTTGTAAATATTTTAAATTTGTTTTTCAATATTTTTGGCTAGTACATAGAATTGCAGTATCTTTTTGTATATTGACTTTATAGCTGGTGACATTTATAAATCCAATTATTTATTCAAATGCTTTGTGGATTATTTTGGATTTTTTATATATATATAATCCTGTTAATACCAATAAAAGAAAGTCTTACCTAATTTCTAAACTTTATTTTTTGTTTATTTTTCTTGCTTTATTTCTTTAGAGTAATGAATAGAAATGATGAAAATGAATATCTTTGCCTTGTTTCTGAATTTAGGGAAACATGTTTAATATTTCACCATTAACTATGATACTACCTAGAAGTTTTTTTTATAAATAACCTTTATCAAATTAAGAGAATTCTGTTTTATTCTTGGATTGTCAAGATTGTTTTGTAAAAATCATGAGTGGACATTAGATTTTATCTAGTGCCTTCTCTGCATGTGTCAGGGTCTTTGAGAAATCCTCATCATCCCTGAGAGGTCTGGAAAAAAAAATCCTTAAATCTCTTAATAAGGTGAATTATATATTATTTGATTTTCATATGGTAAAATAACATCTATTACTGAAATAAACCACACTTGGATATGGTTTATTCGCCTTCTCATTTTTGCTAGATTCAGTATGTTACTTTAAAAAAAGTATTTCTGTGTCTATGTTGATGACTGGTTTGTCCTGTGATTTCTTTCTTTTTTTTTTTTGTTTTGTTTGAGACGGAGTCTCGCTCTGTCGCCCAGGCTGGAGTACAGTGGCACGATCTTGGCTTGCTGCAACTTCCACCTCGGGTTCAAATAATTCTTCTGCCTCAGCCTCCTAAGTAGCTGGGATTGCAGATGTGCACCACCATGCCCAGCTAATTTTTGTGTTTTTAGTAAAGACAGCGTTTCACCATGTTGGTCAGGCTGGTCTGGAACTCCTGACCTCATAATCTGCCTGTCTCGGCCTCCCAAAGTGTTGGGATTACAGGCATGAGTCACCGTGCCCGGCCAATTTCTTTTATTATGCTTGTCTGTTTTGTATCAGGTTTCTAGTCTTTCATAAAAGTTGGAAATTATCCTGAAAGCCTGTATTAAATCACAGCTCACTGCAACCTCGACCTCTTGGGCTCAAGTGACCCTCACCTCAGCCTCTTGAATAGTTGTGACTACAAGCATGCGCCACCATACCCAGCTTTTTTTTTTTTTTTTTTGTATTTTTTGTAGAAACAGGGTTTTGCTATGTTGCCCAGGCTGGTCTCGAACTTCTAGGCTCAAGTGATCTGCCCACCTTGGCCTCCCAAAATGCTAGGATTACAGGTGAAAGCCACCATGCCTGGCTGTAACCTTTCTTTCAATAGGTCTTTTTTTTCTTTCTGCTTCAGAAGGTGGTTTCATCTCATGGTCCAGGTACCTTGACTTTCCCTACCAGATTCTAGAAAATTAATGGCCCCATTTCCTTGTTCCTTTTCATGCCCTTTGCTATGTGACTTGTTTTGGGCAATGGAATGTTAACCAGTAAAATATGAACAGAGGCTTTAAACATGCTTGTGTAGTTGGGTTTGCTCACTTTAGCACTTCTGGCACAACTACAGACACAAGAGTAGCTAAATGGCTCAGTGAAGCCCAATGCAGATCAACTTCCAGATCTGTGAGCTAAATAAATACTTGATGTTTTGCCTCTGGGGTTTTTGTGATCATTTGTTATGCAGCACTTTGGAGCAATAGCTGACTGGTACACAGATGGGCCAACAACTCCCAAATTCAAATCCCTGGCTCAGACTCCTCCTCTGAGCTCCAAACATCTATTTGCATAGCTAGTAATCATCTTAAAAATAACATTGCTGCAAATAGAACTTTGCTTTAGCAAGCCATCCTTATCATACCTGTTCCACCCTTATAAATGACACCCTTATCTTCTCTGTACTTCCAACTCAAATTTATAACTAGTCCTGCATTTCTTCCTTTCTTTTATGGTGACTGACACTTCATAATGACACAAACATTTGTAAAGTGAATGAGTAGTTATGTAGGTATTCTACTAGTGTATATAGGACACAGTGCTCTGTTCAGCTCTATCTTCAAATTCATATACACACTAAGTCTTATGAAATACAATCAGACTTCTAAACCTAGCACCCCACTCTAAGAGGCTCAAAATACCCACAGAAGCTTCTCAATTAGTTGTGTTTCTGTTATCTTCTTCAATCATAAAATTTTTGGCTAATAATGTAAAAATCTGAAAGGTGTTAAAAAATAAGGGATAAGAACCAGTCTGTGTTTAGTCTTGGGCAGATAAATTATCAACATTGGCTGTAAATTAAAGCCACTCAGCCAGGCATGGTGGCTTATGCCTGTAATCCCAGCACTTTGGAAGGCCAAGGTGGATGGATCACGAGGTCAGGAGTTCAAGACCAGCCTGGCCAAGATGGTGAAACCCTGTGTCTACTAATAAATACAAAAATAAGCCGGGCATGGTGATGCATTCCTGTAATCCCAGATACTCGGGAGGCTGAACCAGAAGAATTGCTTGAACCTGGGAGGCGGAGGTCGTAGCGATCCGAGATCACACCATTGGACTCCAGCTTAGGTGACAAGAGCAAGACTTCATCTCAAAAATAAAATTAAAGCCAGTCAGTACCACCAGAAATGCATATAGGAAGTGACACTAGCATGGCTGGGGTGGACAGAGGGATTATATTTATGTGGGATCAGAAACACTTCTTCCACTATCCTAAGTTTTTATTATTTTATTGTTATTATTTGAGACAGAATCCTGCTTTGTTGCCCCAGCTGGAGTGTCCACCACACCTGGCCATATTTGATATATTGTTAGAAGTGTATAAATATTGAGAGTTTGAGCAATCAGAACAGTTTATTGAGAGATTATGCTGTGTCAGACACTATTTGAAGCACTTTATGGCTATAATGCATTTACTCTTCACAAGAAAACGTTGACATAGATGCCATTGTTATCCACATTGACATCTGGGGCTGTCTAACCCAGATAAGGGCTGACAAGAGGTACTGGGGTCCCTTTGCCTAACCTCTGGCTGGTCACACAAGACCATATTCACATAAGTGATAAAATGGTCAGGAGGTAGAGAAAAGACATTTCTGGGACTCTTGACATGGGAGCCTCACATACTCTGGTTCCAAGACCTGGTAATGGAGTCCTAACAGGGGCTACAGTTAGATTGGGAGGATATGGAAATACAATGGTTGATGGGATTATGGTGAGTATTTGAAAATTACTGTTTGAACCAACTTTATGTGAGATGGTTGTATCATCATTGCCTGAATGTATTATGTAAGTGGATATTATGTCTGGGGAATGTTTCTGTACTTTCTTTTTTTTTTTTTTTTTTTTTGGAGAGGGGGTTTCGCTCTTTTTACCCAGGCTGGGGTGGAATGGCGCGATCTCGGCTCACCGCAACCTCCGCCTCCTGGGTTCAGGCAATTCTCCTGCCTCAGCCTCCTGAGTAGCTGGGATTACAGGCACGCGCCACCATGCCCAGCTAATGTTTTGTATTTTTAGTAGAGACGGGGTTTCACCGTGTTGACCAGGATGGTCTCGATCTCTTGACCTCGTGATCCACCCGCCTCGGCCTCCCACAGTGCTGGGATTACAGGCTTGAGCCACCGCGCCCGGCCGTTTCTGTACTTTCTTACTGTAAAATAGAAGGCATGTATATTCACTCTTCTGCCAATATTTTCTCTTTTAACTTCTTTGAATTATTATTGTTACTAATGTTGAGACAGGGTCTCACTTGTTGCCCAGGCTGAAGTGCAGTGTTGTGATCATAGCTCACTGCAGCCTGGAACTTCTGGGTTTAAGTAATCCTCCTGAGTGGCTGGCATTACAGGCACACACAACCATAACTGACTAATTTTTTACTTTCTTTTTTAATTTTTTACTTTTTGTAGAGATGGGGTCTTGCTATGTTGTCCAGGCTGAAACTCCTAGACTCAAGTGATTCTTTTACCTCAGCCTCCCAAAGTGCTGGGATTATAGACATGATGTGAGCCACCACAGCTAAGGAATTTTTAAGTGGCAAATTATTAACTATAGTCATCATATAGTACAATCAAGCTCCAGATATTTTCTTCCTATCTAACTGAATTTTTGCACCGTTTGACCAACATCTTCTCATTTCCCTGCCCCATCCTCCAGCCTGTGGTATCCACCATGCTACTCTCTGCTGCCAAGAGTTTGACTTTTTTGATTCCACATATCAGTGAGATCATGTGTTACTATTATTTCAATAGCTTTTTGAGGAACACGTGGTGTTTGGTTACATAAATAAGTTCTTTAGTGGTAATTTCTGAGATTTTGGTGCACCCATAACCTGAGCAGTGTACACTGTACCCAGTGTGTAGTCTTTCATCCCTCACCTCCCTCCCACCCTTCCGCCCCGAGTCCTCAGAGTCCATTGTATCATTCTTATGCCTTTGTGTACTCATAGCTTAGCTCCTGATCATATGGTATTTATCTTTCTGATCCTGTCTAGTATGTGAGGTGATGGGTATGTTATTAGCTTCATTTAATCATTCCATAATGTATATATATATCAAAACACATAGTACCCCTTAAATATATACAATTACTATTTGTTGATTAAAAAATTTTAAAAAGATGAACAAAGGTGGAGGCTTCACATTTCATGATTTCATGCTATATTACAAAATTACTCAATCAAAACAGTATGTTAGTGCCATAATAGCAGGCACATAGACCAATGGAACAGAATAGAGAGCCCAGAAATAAGTCCATATATGTGAGTCAACTATTTTTCAACAAAGACACTAAGAATACCCAATGGGGAAAGGACAGTCTTTTCAGTAAATGGTGGCATGAAAACTGGATATCCATTTGCAAAAAAAAAAAGAAAAAAGGAAAAAAGAAAAAGAAATTTGACTCTTGTACCACATACAAAAATCAATTGAAAGTGCATTAAAAATTTAAATGTAAGACCTGCTCAATCCTATAATCCCAGCACTTTGGGAGGCCGAGGTGGGTGGATCACAGGGTCAAGAGATCAAGACCATTCTGGTCAACATGGTGAAACCCTGTCTCTACTAAAAATACAAAAATTAGCTGGGCATGGTGGTGCGTGCCCGTAGTCCCAGCTAATCAGGAGGCTGAGGCAGGAGAATTATTTGAACAAGGAGGCAGAGGCTGTGGTGAGCTGAGATCATGTCATTGCAC